TCGATTTTCAAACTGTCTATTAAACTCTTCTTGTCTTAATGGCTATTCTTCAAAATGCCGTTTTCTATGCACACTTGCATTTAAGTACAATCACCACAGTGTAATAAAATTAAACTCATTCTTAGAAGAAAAAAATTGGGTAAATCCAGAAACACTGAACATTATTCTCTGTTTTTGATTTTTCTCAATTTTTCGTTATGTGAGGTAAAAGAACAATAAAATAATTTCAAATCAGTCATAAACCAAAACAATAAATAAAGCTCTTAATTCTTCTCTTCGCCGAATATTGATAACAATTATCGGCGCAAAACAACCTTTCCGGAAAAGTGCACCGATTCAAACCGAGCTTTTAGAAATGTTAAAAAAGTTTTCCAAGTTTTGAAATAAAAGTCGTGTAAAATAAAGTTTGAGATACCTATATTGGAGCGTGCGCTTTGACCCAGTAAAAAGAAATGTGGTAGGCGCGACGGAATCCCAGCTTTTCCTCCAAAGCTTTATCGTCATTGATAAATAAGCGGCTTGGAAGCAAACTACAAGCTCACACAAGATATGAATGAACGACTTGAATGAAGCGGAGCTGGGCAACAACCTCAACTGTTTTTATTAATTCTACATACTTAAAATTTTTAACAAAAACTAAGTAAATACAAATATACAGTCGCAAAATCTGAGTCGATTAATAGTTTATTTTCAAATATGTGAAGAATTTTATTCATATTATCATTCCTATTGTTATTTGTCTTATAAAGAGCTCTAAAGTCAAATTTATTTTTTAGAGTATTGACTTTTTTGGCAAATTTTGGAAATTTTTTCTATGATTTAAATTTTTTGGTAGATAAGGCTTTGTACTTTTTATTATATTAATTATATTTGTTATACGGGGTGTTAATTATGCAAATCGTTGAGACAATTATGTCACCTCTTTTCTTAAATGTAGCATTATTTGATCTTTTTTGCCTTTTTCCCACGGATTCCTACCTAAGTCACGCCTACAGAAAACTTCACAAGCATTATTTTAATAAGTTGTGGTTCCAAAATAAAAATAATGTATAAGTGCAATAATAAAATTAAAATTTATTTATTATTTCAAAGTATTTCTATGAAAAACTTGCAACGTATCACGTACACATTACGTAAACATTCGTTTTTACAGTAATCTAATTATATAAAAAGCCATCAGCCAATCGTTCGTAATTATCCCTATTTACTGATCTAATCAATATTTAATTTAATTAGCTAAAATGACATAAGGCGTGAATTTTTCAAATACGGGTAGTTTAAGTTTTTTACAATTCTCGATCAGTTGGTGACATTACATTAATAAAATAATCCAAAGGTTTTTTGTGTTGTTGAACAAAGTATGTCGTAGTTATTAATTTTTTAATGAATAAAAACGTATGATTTCTCCCTAATTAACAGTAACTATTTAAAATACCAACACCATGATGCATGTGCACTGTTTTAAGTTATGATTCACAATCTGCAACTTGGTATTACCACAGGAGTTTAAATTTTAACGATAAAGCGACGATTAATTAATAAGTAGTAAATAATTTGGTAGAAAAAAATTCTGTTTAAAAACTGTGAATCATTTATCGAACTAATTGCGGTCAGATCACTTTCACAATTTCCTCTGAACAAGTGATGACTTTTCTTCGTTTTTTTTTTTATTTTTGTAAAACGGTTCAGCAACACATAAATGCTATTGTTATTGTTGATCTCACCGAGGCTTATATTTTAAACAAATTAAGATTTTTAGTTGGAACTTTTTTGAAAAACTTTGCCTAATAGCAATAGCAAAAAATAAATCTAACTAAATTTTAAAAACAGAAAAACTTCCTTTTTTGTAATTTATGATTTAAATTATTGTGACAAAATTAGTATTTATATTAGGTTTTCTTACAATGTTGCTTTTGTCACATTACACACTTATCTTAGGATTATTTTCCGTTTCCAATCAAACTATCAACAATTTATGTCACAATAAAAACAGTTGTTAGTACTTGTTATAAATTTATATGTATATTTCAAAATTAGATCAAAAATTTTCAAAATTGCATTCACAATAAACAACTATTTAAAATTTGTTATTGTTATTTAAAATCTAGCAACAAGTTATTTTGAATTTTGTCACATCCTAGGTAACTAATAAAATTTAGCCTTATTTAATTTACGAGTAGGTATCTACACTTCTGTCCTGTCTAATCTTTTAATACTAAAAAAATTGTTTATTAACTAAAAAAATAGCTATCGCATGTCATTACGAAGAAAATGACTGTTGTCCAAAATATATTAAATGATAATTTAACACATGCCATTTGTTTCAATTTAAAAAACAACGTACATTGTGCCAAGACAAGCTTTTTGAAAGCTGAAAATTGTAATTGTAACATTTCATATTAATATGTTTATTGACTCTAGGAAAATAAAACTAATACGTAATACGTTATAACTACATACTACTCAAATAGTTTCGATTTTAATTTCGACATCTACAAAATATTTAAATTAATAACAAAACACCTATCGTCGTTAAAAAGAATTTTTGATAAATAAATAAATAGCTTGTTATACCGAGTGTTATATCTATTTATGTTTTATTAAAAAAGAAACCTAATCTGAATTACCAGAGACATACCTTTTTCAGCCATGATACAATCTTATAAACTGTATAAATATCATTTTTCTTAAAATTTACAATTAAAATAAAATATACCTATTCGATTTTTAACTGTATACAATATGAAAATATGCATTAAAACTATAAACAAAACAAGTTCTTAAATAAAAAAAAATAATTTTCGGGGTTTGATTATACCGGACCCCATTATACATACAGGTGCGCCAGAACTCGCGCCCCAGAGGAAAATACCATATAAAGTAAGATACCAGGAACATGGAAGAAATTATCTATAAAAATTTCGTTATGAGGGTTTAAAGTTTGCACTTTGATTCTATTTATTTCTGTTAGAAAAATAATTTTCCAAGTTTTTTGGCTATAGGCTATTATAAAAATGTTATTTGTGGCTTTTATAGGTAAAATTTTTGTACCTTTACTAAATAATTGTAAAAAAACATATACAAGATCATCAGCATCATTAAATAGACATAAAAAAATGTCAAATGTCAAAAAATAAATGTCAAAGTTTTTTGACAGATAGAATTTTTTAAACATTTTTTTCATGTTCTTGGTATCTTATCTTACTTGAAATTTTTCTCTAGGGCGCGAGTTCTGGCGCACCTGTATAATAATCCAAAGGTTATAAGTGTTATAACAAATCAAATTTGAACTCATCAAATATCTGAAAAGAATATTGTACATTTTTTTCCGGAAATAAAAAACTGAAATTATCGTTATATGTTAATAAAATTTGAAAACAATAAAGTTATTGTTATTATTTATTATACAAGTTTGTTTTAGATTCTGAAAACAAATACAAGAATTTCCGAAAAGAACACAAAAAAGGAGAATTTCTTTGTTTTACAAAAACATATTCGTATGATACATATTTTAATGTAAAATTTTAAAATATGTATAACGAATGGTTAAGCTTACACCATCGTAGGGTAAATCCGGGAAAGATGCTCTCTTCAAACTTGATTAAATGCAATTTGTTGATCCAATACGGCAATTTAACAATAAAAAATGTATTTTTCTTACGTTTATAAATAGATGGTATTAAAAAGTGCATAAATTTAAATAAACGTCATAATTTTACACCAGATTTTTCAAAATGTGGTTCATTTAAGTGTCGAAATGTCTAATAAAACATTTTGAAGTAAAAATTTCATTTTAGTAACTAGTATGTCACCATTAAACAACGGAACGAGTATACCTTACTGTAATTAAGTACTTATAAAAGAGGGGTGTTTTAGAAGTATTAATTTATCCACACATTTTTTATTTGGAACTGCGATGTTTTTTAGAATCAAGTTTCTTAAAATTCATACTGATTTCTTACATTTTAATTATTATTTTTTTGTTTTATCCGAAATTATTTCAACAAACGGCTGTAGTAACTAGATAATATTTTACATCAAAGCAAGATGTTTATTTCTTTAGTAAAAATATTTCGGGTTATGAATTTTTAAATAAGATGCCACAATTTATTTTTTAAGTTGTCTATTAATACTAGTCTTTTTTAGTGTTGCCAATTAAGCACAGCTTTTAAATACATACTCCTAGATAACTAACTCATTATGTATTTATTTCGTCTCAACGTAATAAATGTTGTCTTTTCTTAAGTTAATAAAGCAAAGATAAATGTGTGTTTTCTGTAGCTTCGCGTAAATTTTTTCGTTCGCCGTGGAGGAGTGTCAGCGTCTCAGCAGACGACCTTGACGGCCGCGACGCCTTTCGTCGCCTCCTATGATTCGTTGAAAGTGAGAGTCGCGTCCTCCCGGAGCACGTGCGACACGCTTCATCACGTGCTCCTAGGTTAGTTAAGCGTAAATTTCCCACCACCATCTGACAAAATCCAAGCTTTTCGATAATTTATTGAAAAGCGCACAATTTCCCCGATGTGAAACAATTATTATTAAATAAGACGAGAGAGCAATAATTAAGGCCCAGACTGCACCGTTATTATCGATCCGACTACAATTAATAAGTTAGAAGCTATTAATAAGTATGAGAAAACGAGCGTGGGTTATAATGACACTACACACCTAATGGTAAGTGATCGAGCGATTTTCGCTGTAATTGCCCAGATGGGAGCGAGATAAAAAACTAATCGTAATTACCGAAAAATCCGTTAATTGTAATTAAGGAGAAAGAGAGACGTTTATTTCGGGTAATTACCGAAGAGAATTGATTTTTTGAATGAGGTGGCATAAATCTGGCGAGTATGGCACACCCATATTTAATTACTTGGTATAATACGTGCAAATGTAAATTGGAGATATTGAGCATGATTCATACCTTATTATAAGATTTTACTGGCCGTTCATAAATTTATATCGAATGAATCATTACATTTAAGAAAGACTAGGGGACATACCCGAGGTGAAACAAGCGCCACTTCGAGTCTCCGTCTTGTCCAAAATCACCCTTTTTACAGTTGAAAGTTCACAATCATCACCACGTGATCACTGCGCGCGAAGTTGTAATATACCATGTGCACGAAAGAGTAACACTGACGCTGCAATACAGTCTAGTTGGCTACTGGCGCTAAACAAGCGAGTCTCAGGCAGCGCACACTTCGACTTACCCCTACCGTTGGGTATCCCCCATGAGTTAAACCCTATCTGGCCACGCATGAGCAAAGATTGTAATTAGATTCGTAATGTCCAGTTCGTTATTTCGCCGGAGATGGGGATGGGAGGAAGAGGAGGAGGAGATGAAGGAAAAGAGGGGAAGACGTGATAGTTAATCCCCCCAATGTTTGGGGCATAATGATTGCGATATTTTAGGATGGAGTTACAGAGTTTGGCGTAATGGCCTTTTTGATTGGGGAAAAATTGATGACGGTTCAAATGTTAAGGCGGGGGTCGAATTCGACACCTTAGAGAAGACAGAGTGTCGCGTGCCGCTTCCGCTTCCATCGGACTAGAATGCTGCTGCTGCTGCTGCTGCTTCTGCTGCTGCTATTGGTGGTGGGGAGTTTGCTGAATAGTTTCAGATCCTCCTTAACTACATGTCGTCCAGCGACCGAAATTATGTTCATTCGAAATGTTCCCAGGATACTAAAGCTCTCTAATCCGTAAATGCAGCTCTATACAGTCTAGAAAAGCTCTTAAGAAATTTTATCTCCTTCAGATCCTAGTCTTTCATGTACATACAATAAATTCAGTGATAGATTACATATATTGCCTTTTTTATAGTAATAACTAATTTGAATCAACACAGAGCGTCTGTATCATTTATAGAGTTCCTAGGGTGATTCCTAGAGTACATCCTCCTATTCATAGAAAAAAAAAAGATTCGGAGTCAAGAAATACTTATATGTATAAATTATACAAATTATACAATATACATAAAACACAACTTACAGTAGTTGTAAGACAAGAAAAATGCTTCCAGTAAAATTTTATTCACTTTATTTGCAAAAGATAACACCAGACTTAATAATGCATACAGAAAGTATAAAACCAAACATTTTTTGCTTAAACTAAATATTTTTGGAAAAAAAAGATGATGTATTATAAAAATCTGACGTTTCTCGAGAATTTTTTGGTTGGTTTTGAGTTCTGTAAAATTTTTATTTTTTTCAAATGGCAACCCACTATAAAACTTTTTTTACAAAGGGTATAATCTAATGATTATAACTATCTATATTTTATATTATTTTTATCAAAAAAAACCTCATAACTCAAAAACAAAACAAACTTTCATTCTCAAAACATGATCACATTGTTTATATCACTTTCATTTTTATTAATTATTATTTTCTGCCAACAATTGATTAGAAAAAATACATAAAATACATAATACATACTTTTTGTTCACCTTATATACGGGGTGCGCTAGAACTCGCGTCCCAGAGAAAAATTTCGAGTAAGATAAGATACCAGGAACATGAAAAAGATGTTTAAAAAATTCTATTTATCAAAAAATTTTGACATTTAATTTTTGACATTTGACATTTTTTATGTCTTTTTAATGATACTGATGATCTATGGATCATCTGGTATATGTTTTTTTACATTTATTTAATAAAGATACAAAAATTTTGCCAATAAAAGCCACAAATAACATTGAACAAAGTTACAATTTATGATACAGCTTCCTTGTTTCCTCTTCTAATAGACTGTAGCAAAAAACTTGGAAAATTATTTTTCCAACGGAAATAAATAGTCAAAGTGTAAAATCTAAACTCTCATAACTTTGAAATTTTTATAGGTAAGATTTTTTTAACAGTTTTTCCATGTTCCTGGTATCTTACCTTATATTTTTCTCTGGGGCGCGAGTTCTGGCGCATCCTGTATATGTGAGACTGAGTTAGTTCTTTGAGAAATAACAAAAGTTTAATCTCGTTGGTATTAAATATTCGTGGTGTAATAATAATTTTATTGTTATATAATTAACTAATTTTGTGTAGTTTTAATTATACTTGGTTCAACAATAGCTAGCCATAAATTACTTGTAGCAAAATGCTCCACAACGTATGTGATTCTAATTTGTAATAAAATAGTAATGAACTAAAATAATAGATGGGACATTTTGCATAACAAAAATTTATAACTTTATACGCTATAACAAATGAATGTACTTTATCATTGACATAGGTTTATATTCTTAAAATATAACGCAATTTGATTTGTGTAAATTACTTGACTAATAAAATACTCATAAGGTACTACCACAAATCAATTCTTTTATTACCCTAATGAAATGACAGTTTGAAATTTTGTGCTTTATTCTCATTTTTGTCAAATCTTCCGTTTATCAAAGTGTTTATATTTTGTATCGAGTGATCAAGATAACTTATTGTAGTCGAGTCATCTTTGGATTCGAAAACTATGTTTGTGAAACGTCAAATAAAATGACAAGTCGAAAGGTACAATGGCATGATCAAAAAGCTGAAGATTTTAATAACTAAATTTATGATTTACCTTCAAAAAAGAACGGTTCTATTGTTACACGAGTACATGAGTGACTAATTCCAGAACATTTTGCCGTTTTATCTTTCAACTTATCATTTTCTATGACGTTTTATGTGCAGTTAGTTCAAAAATGGACATACGTTTTCAGATCCAAAGATGACTCGGTTACAAATTATCTTGATCGCTCGATATTTTTTTTAGAAAAAAAATGGTAATTTACTAAATTTAATTAATTTAAAATCAAATAATTTCTAAAAAAACTAAATAGCAGGTTGCCATTAAATAAACAAAACTCAAAAACAAAATAAAATATTCAGAAATGTCACACACTTGTAGCAAAATAGTTTAAACAAAGACGTTTGTACAAATTTTTGTGAATTATAGTGGCCTAACCCACAATAAGCGAAATTCTATTAAAAGATAAAATTTTCACTTTTAAATTTTTATTTTATTTTGTTTCAAATACCGTCACATTATATTTTTGTTTAAAACGTTAGGCTATTGTTTTACTAAAAATGTTTAACAATAAGCAGTTGGTCTTAGAGTAAAACTAAGTTCATGAATTTTCTGCCATTATTTTGTTGTAATTATTAATTAATAATGAGTATTATACTCATACAGTAGTTTTTATTTTAATAATTTAATAAGGCCAATAATTATCAAGAATAAAATCTTCTAGTAATTTTAAGTTGCAATTATGGTAATCAAGATAATTTTAACATCGCAGCGGAGGTGTAAAGTCGGTAGGAAACCAACTGGAACAAATTCACCATCAAATAATATACTGAAACAGAGGAACACGGAAATGACATCTACCCACATATTTTAACATAGCAAAAACGACAGAAAGTGAAAAGAAAACAATTTATGAGTAATGTTTCAAATGGTGTTAACATAAAATTTATGAATTAGATAAATGAATTTTCCGTTAAGTATGCTTCGCACTAACTTTAATTACGATTGTGATTTAACCTCGATAAAACGTTCGCTTTTCTCGAGTCAATTAACACCAATATGTAAATCCGCATCGTGTTTATATTATCCACATAATCCTACTTTGGAATAAGAACATACCAACAAGAAACAGAGACGACGACGACGATGAATGTTGTGCAAATAAGATTTCCAATTTCTCATTTCGATTGTTTATTACAGTTTGTGCATAAAAAAATGTTAGAAGTAACCCTTTTAACTTGTCTTTTTTTCTTTAATAGTATTTAAACCATTGTAAAAAAACGGACGGTTGGTTTGTTTGTCCGTGTCTTGTGTATACTATTGTATGTACAACTGCAGAATTTTTTTTTGGAAAATTGAAAAAAAATATCTTCAAGAGGTCAAAAATGGCGCCTTTGTGTCTTTTTTTAGAAATTATTGAAGTGGCTTTTTTGTTAGCGGAGATGAAATATATACTTCAAGTCCTAAGAGTTTCACTCGGCCTTCATTTTCTAGGCTTAGACCTAGAATCACTACGAGTAAGTTTCTTATAAAGCAGTTTTTCATAAATTTAGTAGATGTACAGGTTGATTCATATAAAGCTACCAGTTTTACAAACTTGAAATATAACCGTACAATAATACATTAGTCATTAATAAAACTTGATTCTTATAAATATTAATTATTTTACTTGTCATGTTGTTTTGGACATTCTTAAAAAGCGCCCTAAACAAACATTATCAGATTGACACTTGTTGTTTCTATAAAGATGGGCAAAAATCTAATTTTTGTATCTTGTTTTTTATTTTCATAAATATTGCATTTAAGATCAGTCACACTTCTACTTACTTATGTAAGTTTTCTGTTTTGGGTAGTGCCAATTTACCCACAAAAGTAACTAAACTTAGTAACTGAAGCCTGTTTCAATTTCAAAAACTCAATACAGGCTGACTCACATAAGATAATGAGCCTTACAAAAGTAAAATGCACCACAAAATACATTCCACAAACGTTATTTTAAAGGTCGTTGTCTTATTTGAATCAAGTTGTACACATACGAAAAAATAAATTAATTTGGTATTAAAGTTTGCGATAATATTACTGAACATTTTTTTTAGTAGTGACAAAATTATTTCCAAATTGACTTAATGTACACGTAGCACAAATGCATTCTTTATCATAACTATTAATTTATTATTCAATATGAAATTAATTAGGAAAAATAAGATGACAAAAATAAATCTAATTATCTACACTTTATTCCCAACTATGTTAAATTCGTCACGTTTGTTAAAACAAGAAGTGTAATTTTTAGAGTAATTAGATGATTATCGCATTGTTATTTTTCGTAGGTCCAAACCAACAAAATACGATCAGTCTTAAATAGCAGTAAATCTGTTTTATGTTAATTAAAATAAGCTATGTATCAAAAGAAAAATTAAAATCCGCTACAAGAATGCAGGGTGAAGAAAAAACTTGTTTTAATGTGTGAAAAATAAAATGTTGTAAAAAGTTTGATAGTTTTTCAAGCATGAAGTTCTTTTAATCAAAAAAATCTAGATTGATATTTAAAAAAAAATACAAAAAAAATGTTACAATATTAACTAAACTGCTGTATCTTCAACGAATGAATTTCGTAATTAAAGTAAAGGAGTAAACAACCATGTTCGGTAAAATCAACAGCTGCCAATAAAGCAGCACAGGAATGCGT